TTGTCCTATCCAAATATCTACCCACAACCAGCTGGCCTGGCAAAATTATTTGATTATGACCTTTTAGCTGATGCATTTTTTTTATAAGAGAGCAATTCCAAACACATACGGTAAGTAATGAGTGGGCTATAATGTTATTGCTAATTGACATGTCAAAAAGAAGTCTGAGTGGGAACCTAGTGATGGTCTGCAATTGAAAGTACAACATTAGCTAGGTAGCTTTATGAATCAGGTTTTAATGATCATACAAACTGTACAAACTGTAGTCTACTTGATATTGAGGATTCCCCTTTAAAACAAGTTATTAGCTTTATTGGATAGCACTTCTATCAACAATTGGTACATGTTGTGGATAATGTTAACAACTAAGCTAGAAACAGTATTGCAGACCTTTAATCAGCCAAATCTGCCACCAAGTCCAGCTCAAGCACTGGATCAGAAAGTGGAAGATTTTTCGCTTTAGGATATAATTACTGACTCTCCAATGTGGGACAAGAGTGACTTTTTGAGGAGTATTCACACAGACAGAGAGAGGAATAGTCACTTTCCATAATAACAGAGTAAGGTATCCATCATCCATCATGGAAAGCAATGAAGATGGTCAGACTTGCTCAGTAACCAGTGATTTTCTTCAGCCTTTTATCAGTCTCTGCAGGTTAGCATTAGGTTAGTAAGACAACTGACCAGGTTTCTGTTTTTAAAATGTGTTCCTTTTGTATAAGAAAAAATTCAGAGTTGTCCAAACCCTTTAGAGATTAAATGTTTCTTTGGTCATGATGCATTGATAGAAGGTCATATTTGAAGTTGGCATAAAGCAGAAGTTGCACTCATCTTTTCTTCCCTATTGTGACGTGCTGTATATGCCAAGTGAAACAGCTTCTTGAAGGAAAAAAAAAGTAAGGCAAGAAAAAAAGAATCATTAAAATAAACACTGCAACATTCCAAAAAAAAAAGAATTTTCCATTTGATATTATGGTGACTTTAGCCTTGTTCAGACTGTCAGTCCAAATCTTTTTTTTTTTTTTTTT